ATGGGCCAAAATGGGGTAAAAATGGCCAAAATGGGGTAAAAATGGGCCAAAATAGGGTGAAAAATGGGGCAAAATGGGGTAAAAATGGCCAAAATGGGGTAAGAATGGGCCGAGGTGGGGTAAAAATGGGCCAAAGTGGGGTAAAAAATGGGGTAAAAATGGGCCAAAATGGGGTAAAAATGGGCAAAAATGGGCAAAAAATGGGCCAACGTGGGGTGAAAATGGCCAAAATAGGGTAAAAATGGGCCAAAATGGGGTAAAAATGGGCCAAAATAGGGTAAAAATGGGCCAAAGTAGGGTAAAAATGGGCCAAAATGGGCAAAAAATGGGCCGAAGTGGGGTAAAAAATGGGTCAAAATGGGTAAAAAATGGCCAAAATAGGGTAAAAAATGGCCGAAGTGGGGTAAAAATGGCCAAAATGGGGTAAAAATGACTGAAGTGGGGTAAAAATGGGCAAAATAGGTTAAAAAAAATGGGCCAAAATGGGCAAAAAAATGGCCAAAGTGGGGTAAAAATGGGCCAAAATCAGGCAAAAAATGGCTAAAATGGGTTAAAAAAATAGCCAAAATGAGAGCATTTCTGGGAAGAAAAGAAAATAAAATAAAAAAGGGATTTGGTGAATTTACCTTGATTGAATTAATTGTAATTAATAAGTAGGAGATGTTTAAGACACAACGAGAGATAATTAATAAGACGTATAAACAAGTCAGAAGATTTCCTTGATACTAATTAACTCAGATAAGACATATTTAGACACAAGAAGAGATATTGAAGAGCTAAGATATTTAAGAATTAATAATAATAATAACAATAATAACAATAATAATAATAGTAATAATAATAATAATAAAGATATTTAGGAATTAATAGGAGATACTTAAGAGATAACAAGAGGCAATTAATCAAATCACAACAGAGATCATTAAGCGTCTCTTATCCCCTAATCTGCACTGCCCTAAATAACTCCATATTAAATAACTCCATAATTAAATAACTCCATAATTAAATAACTCCATAACAACACTGCTATAAATAACTGCAAAAATCGTTCTTAACGAACATCCAGCTGTGCACATAGAAGCTCTCTAATTAGCTAAAAGCTCATTAATCCGGTTGGATGCATTGTTTTCTTCTCCTCCAGATGCCTACGAGGACGGCGCCTATCTGCTGACCTCCTTCATTGCTCGTCAGGTTGGGGAAGGGGAGG